CTCCTCACAGACCATATGACTGTTCCATTAACTTACTACCAGGTGCTATGCCACCTAAAGGAGCAGTCTATGCTCTATCTCCTCAAGAGAGTAGTGTAATGGAGGAATATATTAAAGATTCATTGAATAAAGGCCATATACGAAAATCATCCTCGCCTGCTGGTGCAGGATTCTTTTTTGTATCTAAAAAGGATGGTGAGTTGGGCCCATGTATCGATTACAGGGCATTGAATAAAATCACCATTAAGAATGCCTACCCCATTCCTCTTATTGCTGAATTATTTGACAGACTCCAGAGCGCTAAAGTGTTTACGAAGCTTGACCTTAGAAGTGCTTACAATTTAGTGAGAATCAAGGAAAACCATGAGTGGAAGACTGCATTTAATACCAGAAGTGGACACTATGAATATCTAGTGATGCCATTCTGGTTGTGCAATGCTCCAGCGGTTTTCCAAGATTTCATTAACGATGTACTACGGGGATTACATTTACTCGTTTGTCTTGGTCTATCTGGATGATATCTTTATTTATTATCCTGACCTCCAGTCTCACCACGATCATGTTAAACAAGTTCTGCAAACCTTGTTTTAAAAAAAACTACTTTGTTGTAAATTGGTAAAATGTATCTTTGACCATTCTGAAGTACAGTTTTTAAGATATAATATTTCTGCCTCGGGGTTTCAGATGGATCCTAAAAAACTAGAGTCTGTTCTACAGTGGCCTTTACCCACTGGGTTGATTGGTTTCGACAATTATTACAGAAGATTTATAAAGGAATTTTCTTCAGTAATAGCCCCCATCACCAATATGACACGCAAGGGGGCTAGTAGTACGATATGGTCTAAGGAGGCAATTGAAGCCTTTGAAATTCTCAAACAGCGGTTTGCCTCCGCTGACATATTGATACATCCTGACACCAGTAAGCCTTTCATACTGGAGGTTGATGCTTCAGAGACAGGGGTTGGGGCAGTTCTCTGTTACATCCTTGTGGTTACTTTTCTAGAAAGTTGTCTCCTGCTGAGCACAATTACGATATTGGCAATAGAGAATTGTTGGCCATTATTCTAGCTCTCAAGGAGTGGCGACATCTTTTAGAGAGTTCCAAGGACCCCCTTTTGATCATTACTGATCACAAAAACCTGGCTTACATAGGAGATGCTAAGCGATTATCTCCTAGACAAGCTAGGTGGTCTCTATTTCTTTCTCGATTTAATTTTCTTATCAAATTACAAAGAAATCAAGGTGTATTGGCGCTACCCATTATCACAAATATAAAATTGCTGGTGCAGTGAAAAGTGTATCCCACAACACTTAGAGATAAATAATAAAATAATAGATTAAATACTGCACCAGTAAACGAAATGACAATTCGGGATCAATCTAAAAAACACAAATAACATAACATAGTGCAAAATATATATATATAATGATAGACCCCTTATGTAGAGTAAAACTCACAGGATTTAGAGCCGTGCCAGGCTCTATATAATATGCAGGAGGGTGCCTAAAAAGGCTAAAACGATATCCTTGTGGAGAGCAGCACAGGATACAAAGTGCAGAATCCAAAATTTATTGAACAAATAAACAATTAAAACAGGGACAATAAGCAGTGTATAAATAGTAAAATATACTTGGCACAAAGCCTAAATAAAACACTGCAGAGTAAATAAGAAAAAGTCCCAGATACAATACTTTGGTCTAGCAGCAAACGCGTTTCAATTCCAGCTGGAGTCTTCCTCAGGAAGATTCGCTATTTTCATACCAAATTTCCTCTCAAGCCTGGTCCTGCCCGCCCAGTGGGCGTTCTTCAGGTAGGGAGTAATGTCACGTATTTATCCGCTTATAAAAATGTGGTTAATGGCATTTACTGTCCACACAGGAAAAGTTGTGCCAAGCAGCAACCAAATCCACAGAAGGGTTAATGCTGAGCAGCAATTGGAAACCTGGTAACTGCCTTTGGGGTCAAAGGCCGGTTACAGCCTATCAGATCTAGAGGAGGAGTATTTAGGCCCAGTTCTCATCCTGCTCAGTGCCCTGTCGTGGTTTCCCTTGTGGTTGTCCGAGAGCGCGTTATTGATTCTGGTAATTCTGGTTATTTGACTTTGGCATTGTTTTTGACTTCCCTGTTTTCTGGCATCCCTGGCTTTTCCTTATCATTGTGTCTCTTTCTGTTTCCCTTGACCTCGGCTATTCCTGACTATTCTTTGGGACGTTAGTCCGGCCATTCTAAGGTCCGGTATACGTTACCTATCAGTCCTCTGTGTTATACAATTCTACGTGCTGGATCATTCTGTAATCCTGACAAGTAGGCCGCTACAGAGTTATCAGAGTTCCCGGCGGTGCATAGTGTCTGGTGAGGTATCTGGAGGCACGCCCGGGAACCCTGATTTAGCTAGTGCACTGATAAAGGCTTTGCGGCTTGGTGGCCGGGGTTAGCACCCCAAAATTGGCCCAAATTGTCAGGAGCTTGTGCACTCTGTGTCTAGACAGCTCAAAGGTTAGACTTTGCCCCCCAATTAGATAATCTTTTTTGTTTTGTTTACTTTGTTTTTTATATTAGGCTTATAGGTGCAGTAGGAGCACTAAAATCACACCATCCTCATAAAGTTACTATGTGGCATGGATGCTGCCCCTTCAGCTTCTACTGTTTATACTTTGCAATACCCACGTCTACAAATGACTTTCAAGCAGACAGCCACTAGAGGTTTCAAACAAAAAATAGATTCAACAATTACATATATAATGGCTGTGCCCAGTGGTGTATTCTGGTTTTGTGCTGCCCTAGGCATGACAAAACTCGAGCACTTCTCTCACTGATAGACGCACACTCACTCAGTGTCAGACACCCACATACTGAGACACACATATATTCACTGACAGACATAGACACAAACTGAAACATGCATACACACGCTGACACACACACACTCACTGACAAACACATACACTGTCACTGACAGACACACACACACACAATGATGGAAAAACACACACTCTCACTGACAGACACACACTCACTAACAGACACACACACTCTCACTAGCAGACACACACAAACACACTCACATTTTTTTTTTTTATTATTTCAATTCACCCAACCTCTCTACCTTTGGGAGTGCTGGAATGGATTGTCAATTTCCTTGGGGTCGAGTGGGGAGCCTTTCAGTGCCGGGCGGGCAGTCAATGAAGGCAGCGAGGGAGCTCTGATCTCCCTCACATGCCTCTTAGTAATGCTGGGGCCAGAGTGACGTCATATTCCATCTCTGGCATCAGTGCGGGGCGCGCGAGGAAGCTGAGCAGGGAGAGCACATGGGAAAGCACTCCCTCACCACCCGGCATGAGCAGATGCCAGCCTCGTGAGGGAGGGGGCCTAACGTGTCCAGTCTGCCACCTCTAGGGCCAGCCAGGACAAAAGTCTGACAAGGTATCTGCCAGATCGTTTAGGGGATGACTTTTTTTTTTTTTGTTGTCCCCTTGAAAGTGCCGCCCAAGGCCTTGTCAGCCTCGTGCTAAATACATTCAAAGTGTTTGTTCATTGGATCCGATGGACGTATTTGATTACAAGAATTTGATTGGTGGATCACAGTGATAGCTGCGTAGGCGCCCCATATCCTCAATTTTTCAGTATGAGAAACATCTGATTGGATGACTTCAGCAGAGGAGAGTCTGGCTCCTGTGAGAAGATTATCCTAACAATTTAAACTGAAATGCTTTTCATATAATAATCGGTTAGTAATTTAATAAAGGTGTTGCAATATAATATATTATATGATATATTTTAAATTTGTATCACTAGATAGACTAATATTTCGGCTGTTTTAACTCTATCTTTCAATGGTACCAGATAGTACTCACTTTTATTTTTCCTCTGCCTTCCCAGATAATATCAGAAAATAAACAAAAAAGATGTCCCGCACTTCTTATTGTGAGAACATGATATCCCTCTCACAATAAGGAATGCTGGGCATCTTTTTTGTTTATTCTTCAACTATCTTTCTGTATGTTTTGTATCTGTATGTGTTTATGAATGTCTGGAGGGTCCATGTGAAAGTCAAAAGGGATGAATTTCTACTAGCCAGGGCTACATTTTCACTTGCCAATGGCTAGTGGTAAGTGGAAATTTTGAGCTCTGATATATTTAGATGTTTACCTCAACAAAACCAATTGCTACAACATCGAGAGCCAGGTATTATTGACTCCATGACATGTGAGTGCACACCCATTAATGGTATATTTTTATTACCATTATAATTACTGTTATAATAGTTTGCACTATGTTTAGTTTTTTTAGTATATGCAATCATAGCTGCTGATAAATAACTACACAGTGTTTTGCACAGGCAGCACTTTGACTAATATATGTGTATTTAAAATGACCTTTTGAGTATTTGCCCACTCTTGTGTTTATATATATAAAATATAATACATATATTTATATATATTTTAGATTCATAGTAACCAAGTAACGGTTTGCATAATTAGCCCTATTGGAAAATAAATGCATATTCTGCTTTCCTCCACGATTTTGCACACGGTCTGATGGCGGAATAGAAGACCCCATCATGTGTAAATTTTTATTTCAATGAAATGGTTTGGAAGATATTTACAGATACTTATGTAGCATGTAAAAGTAAATGACTACATGAATAGCTAACAAGATCTACTGTGTGTTACTTCAAATAAACATTTAATAATGGTTGTGTTCTGTTATTTTCATTTCCATTTTGTCCACAGAGACTGCATTTGCCTCCAGACTTGTCAGACACAGTGAGTCGTTTAAGCAAACCCGATCTGGCAGGATCCGCCAAACTGCTGAGCTCAGAATGTCGCAGTGCAGCCCCAGGCGTGAAGCACCTGGACTTCTAGTGATTTTATGCTGCGCAGATACGTCCATAGTTTCCCATTCGACCCAAACTGGGGTATTCATTTATTTTTTAAATGTAATGGTTTACTTTTTTTGTTTTTGTTTTATATCGTTTGCAAAAAAAAAAGCTATGAAAAATATATAAATTAAAGAATATTCTCAAAATGTGTCCTGTTATCTTTAAAAACAATTGTCCAAAAAAAAAAAAAAAAACAGCGAATTGCTTATTAATTAAAATAATATTTTCAGAATGCGTCCTGCTGTGTTAAATAAAATATGTGTATATATATATGGAGATTTGCAGTTATGTTGAGGAATGTCTTAGGGTATTCTTCAACAGCTAATTATTTACAATGCCAAGCATTTTAATCTGTTTTATTTTCTGTTAGTTTGTTGTGAACCAATGCGAACGTCTTATTTAAGAGAAGTAATGAGGATATAATATTAGTCTGTTGAGACTACAGATGCTTAGTATAGGGAGAAATTACCGTGACCTCAGACAGATCCGTTATTGGAAACCTGGTCTCTTACAATCATCAGAATTTACATAGATAAGGTCACTTTATATGTTAATTATCATTAAAAAGTATTTTAATTAATTCTCCCCAAAAGCAGATTTGATTTCATTATGGTTTTTCAAAACAGTACTTTTAAATAATTTACGGCAGCACTATGAGATTACAGCTACAGATTTCATTCTGGATTGATATTCAAACTGACAGCTACATTAATGTTGGTAACTCGAAAATGTTCGCTCATGCTTGATAAATAAATGGTGTAGAATTCAGGGGGCTAAAAAAACATAGGCATCAGGCACTGTACTCTCTATGATGATGTGCACAGAATCTTTCTTATGAACACCTAGAAATTAGGATAATTAAGAGCAGTAATTGTGTTTCCTCTTTTGTTTTCGATTTCCAAAGCGTTCCATGTTTTCTAAAGTGTACTATTTCAATATAGTATTTCTCCCTAAATTTGAATTCTTGTTGCCCGTTTTTTAGGATCTGTCTTATATGGGACTACAAAGCACAATTTAACACCAAAAATCATCTTTAGACTAATGTAAGTGCGATGCTAGTTGTAGTATCTTGCACAGGATGCCTGTTTATTGTGCATTCTAAATAAAAAAATTTAAAAAAAGAATATTTCACCAGAATTGGATAAGTTAATAGTTTGCCTACGAAATAATCTGATTTGTTTTTTTAGCTCACTTGTGCTATTACAGAGAAATGTTTTCAAGTTTGTCAAGTTTCACCCATAAACTGGAACAGATTAAAAATTCAGGGGATTTCTCCTCTATAGGTCATGGTAAACTAAATATGAAGAGTTGGAAAGCAATTAGAATTTTATTTAGGACAAACGTGGTTCTGAACACAATAACATACAATAAAACACTTCACATATATTTGTACATGCTTATTGTTTACACCCATGCTCTTAGTGTTAGGCATTCGTTCATTCATACATTGATTATGCTGACATGCTGCCTCTGGCCATGGACAGAAAATTAGAACACACACAATCTACCCTTTACACTCTAGTAAATATGGTCATAGAGACTCATTCCTCATATCGTTCATCAAATGGTTGCCAAACAACTACAGGACTATTTCCACCTGAACACCACTACAGACCCTCACCCGAGGTAGAACAGGAAGACCACAGGTCAGTATTTAAAGGGAAGTTAATCAGTTTAGCAGCTTATTACAAAAGTCAGTGCACACTTACTATATACGCCACACTAAGAGCTCTGCAGGTTAATGCCTTACCACAGAGCTACACTCACATATCATTTACTCACCCAGATCACCAGCATATCCTCTGTTTTAAACTCTAACATTAACAGACACATCAAAGAACCTTTAATGGGCTAAACCTTCTAATGATGGTAAACCACCTTCTCATCGAAGGTCAGCTGGTAAACAAAACATTAAACAACAATATCGGTCTTCTCCCAAAACCCCAGAAGATCCACCACTGATCATTATTTAACAATTTCCCTAGTAAATGTTGATGTTACAATTACCAATAAAATTTTGGTAAATGGGTTTAACTCTTTTATGGGCAAATTAATTCATCTAGACCAGGTGCTGGTGATCCACACTCACCATACGAGTGTATTTCATTTGGCAGAGGAAAAGACCAAAAGTAAGCAGAACTATTCTCTATGTTCACAAAAGTTTAGTAGGATTAGGTTTGCCTAATGTTTTGCAGTATTTTCATTCTGCTAGTCTCAGCCACATCCAACAAGGGCGTGCATGCAGTCACACAACAAAAATGATTGGTCAACTTTCTACATGAAATGTTCATCAGAGAATTCCCAGTTTTAGAATACGTGAATGCCCAAGACACATAGCCTTTTTCGCTTCCAAAGCATACCAGCTACCTTACACCCTGTCCTATAGAGTAAACTGGGACATAGATTCAACTTAACAAACCCTCCCCACCCCTCCCCCGCAGATAAGGCTGAACTACAACTCTCATGATGCTCTGGCCATACGTTGCATTTAAACTGCTATAAAAGTTTGAGACGGGTAACTACACAATGAAATTGGGCTTTCCCAATTCCTGACATAACCCAGTACAAGTTCCTTAACTCCTTCGAACTTTTCCAGACTCATTTAAAGATTTGTAGCGTCACGAGTAATTATAGTGATATAAACAGGCTCATACCTTTTTGAATAAACATGCATATAGGAGGTAGGTAGCCATGCTCTACACCACACTTATAGATCATCCATTTAAAACTTACCTGCTTTATATTTGGTCACTGGAAAATGATCTGGGTACTTTAACAGCTCCTATTGACTGGACAGATCTATGAAAAGCAGTTGCTTCCATCTCAATATACGCCAATCGTAAAAGAAATTTAAAAAACCTTTAAAATGCTTCTCCGTTGACATCTGATGCCTGTCCATTTACTTAAGATTGTTAAAATTCCCTGTAGCACACACTCAATCTTATGTAGACTTCTGAACTCATTGGCTGACAGTCATGCTGACTTTCAGACTCTGTTGATGTACAAGACTGATGGCGCAGTGGGGTAAGAAGTTGCAAGTCGCGAGCACTCCCTTGCCGGGAAGGTATAGGGAGACAAAACTACGGGAGTAGCTGAGGACATCCCTTTTATAGAGTAACCTAATGGGTAGGGGGTTAGTCGGACAGAGGTATGGTTAAGTGTACCTTGCTACACCCTTAAGGGAATGGTTTTCCGGGATGTGGCACCACTATAGGTTATATAAGAGCTCTTAATTTATACAATATGCTATGTAATTGGATTGAGGACCTTGGCGTCTTGTTTACCTCACTCAGCCCTGTCTGGCTATCTGATTCCAAATGTAATTTATGAAAAATGGTTTCACTGTGAATGCTTTTCTATCCCGCAGTTGTTTTCGCTTTATGCACAGTGACCAATAAAACATTTTATTAACAAACAAAAAAAAGGAATTCCCTTCAGCAATTGTTGGAACCAATACAGAGACACCGGAACATTCACTCACTGGTGGAAATGCCCTAAGATTTCCAAGCATGACAAAGGATCGTATGTCCTTTCTAGGTGTCCTCCAATGTATCTTTGGGTCTTACTGTTATATAGGTCAACTGAGGACCTAAGGCATGCTGAAAGTATTGGTTGGGGTTGCTATAGCAACACACAGATCAATTGCAGGACTGTGTTATGCTATAAATTTCCCAAGTACCTTATTAATATTGTGTAAAGGCCCAACAATGTGCAAATTACCAACAATTGTTGTTTCTATCTTTTCAAAAAGTCTTCGACTTGAGGATTTAGAGAACCTCTGCAGTAGATCTCCCGATTATAAGAACTGGCATTAGGACAATTCGGAGTGTGTAATATTCTCCCATACCATTCTTTTTTCATCTTTCACTATTGTCCTCTTTCTTTATTTCCCTACACTACCTCAATTTCCTTCACTATGCTACTTTTATATATACTCCAACAGTCTATGCCGCCCAGATTAACCTACCCAGGTACTGGTTCAATGAATTACCAAGTGTTAAAACGGTCATGTGAATACATTACATAATGTAAGGACCAAATGTTTTAGGGATCATTAATTCACAGTTTCTTTTTATTATAGTTCGTTATCCTTGATCACCAATATCAAAACACTGTAATCGTCCACATTACGCAAGCCTTGTTAGCACCCAGGTCTTTTAAATACGATGAACATAACTCGTACTCGTACTCTTGGAAAGTAAAATGAAGTCAATCTCGGGAATACAAGCATGAAAAGTGTACACAGATTGACATTACACTTTTCAAAAGACATAATATGTTGGGTACTACATGTGAAAGAACAGTTTTCTATTTAAAGAACACTGGTACAAGAGTTCTCTGTGGTGTCCAGGAGGTCAGGGAATGAATGCCATCTATACTAATATAAAGTGAGTTGGTGACAGCGCAAAATAGGGCAGGTCTCAAAAGCTCAATTTGGGCGCATTTGCATCAAAAAGGACGCAGCTACATCAATTCCGTGTGTCTCTAAAACTGACTTTAGTTCTGCCCCATTTATGCAGCCACAAAGGAGGAAATCTAGATTACATAAAGACGCGGTCACACCAATTTCTAACTTCAATTTCCACCTCATTCTAGATCAGGCATAGTATGTACCAGGTCACACTCCCCTCATTCAGAAGTTAATTAAACCTAAGTGATGTAAGACACAATTTTGGGGCCTATTTATACCTTAATTGGTTGGCATTCTGTCCAATGCTGTGCACATTCACCAGTGATGCCAAGTTGACGTAAGGGCCTTGCTTTTCCATGATCTAGTGTCCTTTTGTGGTTTCAGAGCCCTTAAGCACGTTCTACTGATCCTGATTTCGCCTAACTGACCAAGCTAAGTTTATTGCACCTGTTCCTGTGCCTATACCAGTCTTGCTGATATTCTGAGATTGTTCAATATTATTATTTTGTTTCCCCTCCTGGTCTGAAAAACTCATCGAGTCCTGATATACACTTCCTAATTCCTTTTTAGAGTTAATCTCTGCCACTCTAAGGTCAGGTAGTATACCTGAAGGAACATAGAAAAAGGTTTTAAAAATCATCTTGTTTCATCACATTTTGAGCTACACAATAATGATCCGAAAAGAACATGAAGTTTGTGGGTATCACCAAGCTCATTCAACATTGGAGACATGATCAAAACACTCCGTAAAAAAAAATGTGGTGGGTATACCATCTGGATACCTTACATCCTAATGGTATAAAAGCAGAGTTTGATTTGTTAAACTTTTTAAAACATTTTACAAAAAAAATAAGATACTTTAATATATTTATAATGTTTAAAATCATTTTATATATATATTCTTTTTTTATAACAAATCGATAATAGTTTCATTTAATTTCTTTGACTCTTGCCAAAACCTCTCCATACTTATTAAATACTTTTTCTATCCACTAAAAATGTGTGTATTTGAAAATAGTAAAAACTATTAAACTGTGGGAATGTTCTGCACTTACGAACAATCACATTAAAGTACACTTTCATAAGCCTTGATGTAAAAATTATATTGGATTCACAGTGCAACACAACTCCTCTATATATATACCAGGATGTGTATTCTTATTGATGGTATACTATCTAAGATAATTTACACCAAATAATATAATCTTAATGAATTATAACTCATCGAATTTACAATTAGTTAATGTGAATATGTTGGATGAGAATGTCTCCAGTACTTATATATTGATATTCTCATGGTAAAGGTAGATTTGCCCTTTTTACTATTCATACATATGTCTTGTGTTTTCTCATTGTTTGCCCACATCTAACATTGTCGACCAAGTGTTTATCCAATACAAAGACTCTAAGGAACTGCCTACTGAGCCTCCCGATTACAAGTTTGTTATGTGACGTGAAGGGGGTGTCGCCAACACATATGAATGTGACGTGGCTGAAAGATTTGACTAAAAAAACGAAACTACCTCAAAGGAAGCAGAAGGTAGACCTGCACACCGGACTTAACTAATTGGAATTAGACTACCTTTAAAAACAGGGACACTCTCCGTGATTATCCACACTTCTGAAGAAGCCCAATCTGGGTGAAAACGCGTCAAGTGGGGACTGGAGCACTTTATCTTTATGCTACATTTGTTTATATATATATATATATTATTTTTAATTAATAAAGTTAACTGCTATTTATGAATCCCTATTTTTATTATTTTTTTACCCTGCTGCTGTCCTACAGCATTGAATCCTGCACATTCCAGGTGGGGATTGTACCACCATAAGCACGTACTACCAGAGCAAGTCATTGCTCTGAAAATTGGATGTAGGATACCTGCTTTTTTAACATCTCACATTACTTACAATATACTGTGCCATTGGTTCCTGGAAGATCAAGTTGATGTTGCTGCTGACCAGAGGGCCCATCCGACCCCACCGGCGGGCGGTGATTAGGAGTGAATAAGGCTGCCACTATGGTTTGTGTGGTCAGTGAGATGGGGGGTGCCACGGGCTCTGCACGGAGTCTTATCCGCTCCCAAAAGGCTGCACAGATGTCCTCGAAAGTCATCATTGGGTCCCAGCTAGGTGCTCCGTCACCATGTGTGGCACCGACCTTGAGCCCTGGTGGATTTACTGTGTGCACAGGTCAGTCCCAGTGGTAGAGATGTAGCGTAGGGTGCCGGGATATCCCCCACTGCCGTGGGGGGGGGTTGAGGTATCTTACCAGGGCGTTCTTAGTAGATTGTGGGTAGAGGGATCGGCCGCCTCCCTTACTCCTGTGTCATGTGGTAGGCCACAGGCTTGCTCCAGTAAGATGCTGACCAGATAAAGAGGTGCCAAAAGCCAGATTAGTAGCCCCAGGGTCGCAGTATAACAACAGGGTCTTCTGGTGTCAGGTTTGCCTGACAAAAAGCCGCTTAAGAGGTTATATTTTGATAAATCTCCAGTCGCCATGCCAGTCAAGCCCCGCCCCCCTTTGGTAGGTTTTTTTGCCTTGCAGTTTGCTGAGGATTCTCTTGCGTTTTAACGATATGCTTTCAACTCCCACTAACCACCTAGAGATGTGTGTTTGTGAAAAAGATCAAGGAATGTGCAATGCTCGCCTGCATTGTTTAATGTTGTATATGTAACATAGGGATAATAATAGACTGAACATTTTGCTAGAAAGACCCACAGGTGCCAGGCATTCTTTAATCACAACCTCTTTAAGTAACCCAATGTTAAAAAAAATTAAGCACCCATGGCTGCTTGAAGACAATATTATCACCAGATTGTTTGATCATTATTTATCTGATGTCTTACATACGATCAGGGCCGGTGCTACTGTAAGACGGCACAGGCGGCCACTGCAAAGATGTTTGAGTGTCCGGTGGGGGTAGGGTGCACAGAGGACCCCTCTCATGCCAGTAACTCTCTGAAACCGTGCCCCATCTCCGGGAGACTAATTTAGCCGGCCTTTGTGTGAGGGGAAAACCGAATTCAGCCAGAGAGATAGGAGCTGCGAGGAGCGGCTGTGGCCAATCGCATTAGAGCAAAAGACCACTGGGATACATGATGTTATATCCCGGTGGCCGAGAGGAGGGCAGCTTTATTTGGGCAAAAACACCTGATGGGATTCCTGATAGGAAACAGTAAGTGTGTATATTTAAACAAGTGCGTGTGTAAGAGCCAGAGGTTGTATAAGAGCCAGTGTCTGTGTGTGTAAAAGCCAGTGTGTGTGTGTGTATGTGTAAGAGCCAGAGGTTGTATAAGAGCCAGTGTGTGTGTGTGTGTATATATATGCCTTTGTATTAGCCTTTGTGTGTGTCAGAGAGTATTTCCATTCCTATGTATGGATTTCTTTTTCCTGTTGAACAAGAATATATATATATATATATATATACATACACTACAGAGTAAGAAATCAGAGAGGGGAGAGAAACAGAGGGTTACACAAAAAGGGGCAAAAGAGATAAAATACACTAAAGGGGGGAAAGACAAGGGGTTAAGAGGCCACAAAAGGTGTAATAAAGACTCAACGGCATGGGAAGAATGACAAACGGGATACAATATGCAAAAATTAATAATAGAAACTGAAAGATTCACAAAGAGGGCAAAAGGATGGGTAAACTGAAAGATTCACAAAGAGGGCAAAAGGTAAGACAGGCGGAGATGGGGTAATAGACACAGAAGTGTAGACGAAGTTTGGGGGTGGCAAAATGCGTCTTTTCTGTGTAGACAAAAATCCTCACACCGGCCCTGCATGCGATGGCTAGTTGGGTGCATGCTTTAAATTAGGGCACAAGCAATCCTAGACTGTAATATAAATTATATACACATTTTATGTACTATGCCTTTACTTAAGGCACATTGTGAAGCATTGTTATAAATGAACCAAAGACGTGATTGATTTTTTTTTTTTCCCTTAACAAAATGGTTTGTAAAATGCAGACTTAAATTTTAATAGTCTTGAGTCTGATGACTGTCAATCACTTGCAAAACTTCACTGTAGCATAAACACATACTGTATACAGCTTTTATTCAGAATTAGAATAATCGAATCATTGAGAGTGATTTGCTGAGATGTCAAACCTATCAATCACAACCTGTCACTACCAGTTTACTTTGTGTGATTAAAATCAGAAAGACTACTATTTTATCATCATCTCTTTCATTAGTGGTAACAGTCATGTTTTTTATTTATTTTTTTATTTCTAGCCTTTAATAAAAAAAAAGAGATTTTTGGTTTTTTTACAAACCACTTTTTTTTTTCCTTCACGTTTTGTAATTTTTAGTCATGCAGATAAGATGGTAAATGAAAATCAGTATATTCTATTCACTGGTGGGTTGTGAACATTTGGGAGATAAATACAAAAGCTTTTTTTTCAGTTCTGGGGTCTTGTGTGTTTTCTTATTAAACCCCAAGTGCATAAACTGTGGAGGATGACTCTGTAGTCTTATTCTTTAATCATCAGTCACTTTGTCCATGAGTGAAGGTTATTATCCTGCAAATTTGAAAGCTCAAAGATCTTATCCCCAAGATATTACACACAATGTTTGTATGTACATATAGGTGCCATACTCCTTCATAACCTTTTCAACCAGTCGTTCAAATAATGTGTAACTCAAATGCCCAAGGGGAATAGGAGTTTATTTCAGGAGCCTAAAACTGTTCTCACTATTGACAAGACAGAGGTCACGTGCTCCTGCACATCCCATCACAGGAATTTAAATAATTTCATTTAAAACCTTGGAATGGCTAAGAATTATGGAAGTTCTACGTGTAACGAGGTAAAAAAAACTAACCATTTAACCAGTGCTTACTAAATTAAGGAAGCCGCTATAAAACAATTATTTTTTTTCTTGGAATTCACTAAATCTATTTGCAGTGCAATGTAGAAATATGATTTTTTTTTTTAAAGTCCCATTTACATTCATTTGACAATGTAATTGGCCAATAATCAAGTTTATTAAATTGAACAATCTGTATTTTTTTGTTTCTGTCTGTGCACCTATAAGGAATCTTATATTTCGTAACCATGGTATTCGTACATTTTTTAATATCCTGAAATGACTGCAGCAGCGTCCTGCCAGTTTCTTGTTATTGGAAAATAGATTGTGCTTTTCTAAAACACCCCTAGATCTAATCTGTAAGTATTCTAAAATAAGCTATTTATTTTTTATGACTATTAATTTACAGAGCCCTCGCTAATTTAAATAGCATGTATCACTTAGCCTGCTATGCATATGATATATCATTCTATATAAATGTGAATAGTCTGCTTTATTGCTTTTTAAATTTAGTGAGCCATTTACAGTAGACCAAGGTTCCTTACTGCGAAAAACATCATACAAAATGAATTGTAATAAATGTCAGTTCTCTGTTTCTTAATAATACATAAAACTTGGCTTGATGGTAAGTCCTGCAGAGTTAATCATATAGGTCACAAATATATGCTTCTTAACTTTCATTTATCTGTATTTCACGTTCCCACACAGAAAATTATCGGTCTTTACTAGCCTTCTTATCTATATTTAAAATGTTTCTAGCAGAGCCAAAACTACTCATTCAAGAAAAAAAAAAATATAGAATTATTTCACAAAGACATATATTTTAAACAAATTACCCAATATTATCAGTTTGGTTTAGGTAGACTGTGCATCATCTGCATGACCGGTTTTTCAACTACAAAGATGTACGTTCTGCAGGGCTGAAAAATATTTCCATCTGGTTTGCTTGTTACGTTATTATGGTTGACCCTTGAGGTACAAAAGACAATTATAAGTCAAGTTCAACCTATCGTTTTTATCAGTCAAAGCAAACGAATGGCTTACATCACACTTGAGATATTGTCAGTTCTCCTTTCTGGGTATATCCTATTTCACTCCAAGATGCTATGTTCACTGGTTGGTGCATCCTTTACGTTGGGGGAAAATATAATCTGACACATGACCGTTTTAGAATGTGCTTAACTTTACATGGATGTCTCTCAATGATGGACACAGAAAGCAGGAGCGAATGTCTTGACACTTGTGAATACTCTAAAATTGAAGAGCCCAATCCATGATGTCAAACACCTTTTCGGAGGTGTTGGTGGCACTGTGTGAAGAATACGTGAACTTTTCTTTCTGTAGACTGACTACTTGGCATGTTGAAGCAGAACTAGTGATAGCTGTTAAAGCCGTCATGTATTCCTTTATTTGCTTAATTGTTTTTG